TTTCAACGACCCGCTCGATACTCCGTATACTGTCCTCAATATCGCCACCAAATTGGCAGTATTGGGAACAGACATACAGCTCCCCGAACGGGCCGTTCAGATAGGCGATCGCCTCACACCTGGTCAGGTCTTGGCTCAGATCGACTACGTCAACCTCAGAGTTGTCAACCACTACTACCGCTTTGGGATCCTCTCCACCTTGTTTCCCTACAATCACCATTCCCGAGGGCAATCCTCGGACGCCGCCATCAACAGCGTATGGCTCTTGCAGCAAGGCAACACTAATCCCCTTCTCACGCAAAAGCACTCCGACTTCGCACATGACCACATAGGATCTCCTACAGTTCAACTGGAGAACTTTTATGGTCGTGTTCACCATCACGCGTATTTACTTGCCCTTTCCTGCATTGCTGCTATGAATAACGGGCAGGTTGCCGACTTGGTCTAGTGATCGGCCGGCATCTTCCTTGCCCTGCAGTTCACATAGCTTATTGGCTTGTCACAGCCCTTCTGCTGGTGACCACTCTCACCACAGCGGAAGCACAGCGCGGAGACGGTGCTTCTGCAGGTTGCCTTCTTGTGTCCGAACCCTAGACACCTGAAGCAACGTAGTACGTCCTGGGTATCCTCAACTCTGCATGCCGAGGTACACCCGCTTCTCGCTTAGTACGTACGTTTTAACTCGAGGGGTTACCTCGAGCGTTATCCAGCACTCGCTTGTCGGGCATGCACAACTTGTACTTTTCCGTATTGCAGGAGCTGGCCTCCTACTTCTGATCGTCACCCGAGAAGCGAACTCCTCGGGTGGGACCACATCCCTCAGGTTCTTGACCTGGAGATCCCTAAGGATCTCCTGGTCTGATAGGGCCGCAGGTACATCCTTTATGAGGACTTTCGGCCCTATCTTCTTCGGGGTGTTGACCGAGAGACCCTGCATCTTGAGCTCTTCGCTCTTTAGTAGGTCTTCTGCCTCGGCGGAGGTCTTCATCTCAATGACAACTCCCTCCTTCACCCTTCGCAGCGCACACACCCGAACTCGTCCGAGTGCTCCACCAACTGCCAATACTTTGGCCTTGACCTCGTCCGCGGAGAGTTTGCCGTCTAGTGACCTCACGATCACCGGGACGCCCGTCTCCTTCGAGGCAGCCCTATTACCAGGCTTGGCCGTCTTCTTAGTGTCTTTTAATACTAGGCGGCTAGGCTTGGGAGCTTTAGCCGGCGTCGGTTTACCCGACTTTGGCTTCCCCCCTCGCACTTTGTTCGCAAACGACACCCCTGGTTGTACCACCTGGGGAGCCGCAACGACCGGACGCGCCGCCATCGCAATCTCTTTCTCTACGAGAGCTTCCAATAGGATGCCCTCGCACTCTGCGTGCCTGTCCAAAATGAATTTGGCAGCCACTTTCGAGATTTTGTTGCCTTCATCGAAGACAAAGCTACGGAGACTCTCCCCGATCTGCCTTATCCTCTCCAGCTCCTTTGCCCGGCGTTCCTTACGAGCTCCCCCCGTTTCCGGGGATCCTATGCTCTCAGGATCTTCGGGATTCTCACCGGGCAACTCCTTGGGCCCCTCTGCGACCGACTCGTTCGGTCTCAGGACCCTCTCAACCCGGACAATCAGGCTCTTTGCAGGCTTGGGCTCATCGACCTTAGCCACCGCCTTGGTCGCAGCCCTTTTGCCGCTCTTCGCCTTCCTGGTGGGATGCGACTTAGTTGCTTTGGAGACCTTCGCCCCCTCAGCAGCCACCTCCCCCTAATCTCCCTTGGCCTTGGCTTTGGGCTTGCCAACTCTCACCCACGGGCCGTACTCCTCCTCGGAGGATTCCGTCACGTGGGCCTTCCTCACTACCCCTTCAGCCAGGCTTTGGGCTCTCGCCCTCAGTCTCAGCACCACCCGACAGCCTTCTCTTGGCCTTGCCCTTACCTGCCTGCTTGACCAGGTCTACCCCGTTCGCACGGCGGGTCTGTGGCCTCGCATCTCCACCGCCAACAGGTTGTGAGCCTGTGGGGCAAACCTCTGCAGGTTCAGGCTTCTCGGCACCTGGCTCCTCTACAGCGTTGGGCTCGCCCTCACTTGAACCATCACGAGCCCTTCGCTGGCTGGTAGCATCTCCAGACACCCCACACCGGCGTAGGGATGCCTCACTCTCCTCCGTCGCATCAGAACAGTAGTTTGATGGCGACCAGGCTCTGCCTTTTCCGAAGGGGCTGAAGCAGTAACCTTCATCTCATTATTATCCATATATCATAGCAATTTGGTGGAAGTTCTTAGCGCCTGACAAGCCTCTTTAAGGGATCTCCAGCTAGTAAGGTCGTGCCCCCCCACCACGCCAAGGTGACTACCAAGGGGGGGATCCTCCGTGGTAGCAGTTTTCGGTGCACCTGTACGTGGCTCATCAAAAACCGACTTGCGACCACGTTGAAACTCCTTAAACCAATTTTCGACGGTCGCCATCGAGGAGCAGAGTCACCGTAAGTAGCATCCAAATAATCTTTGATTTCGTTGCGCGATTTTCCTTCCAAAAACAAGAATGGGATCATCGACCAATATTGCTGTTTTTCCATTTTTCTAAAATCGGCGGACACTCCCGCTTCCACACGCGTTCAAAACAAAACTACGAGTCCGATCCTGAAGTTTCGACAGTAGCCGTCTACTAGAATGTACTACACGATAGTGTAAATTGATCTAGCGATACTGGCGCAATCAGGCGGTGATGCTATGTATTTATCGGACCACCCTTTTATAGCGGTTTAGCAGTTATGGTAGATAGTAACCACTAATTGAGCGAGGGACTAGTTGCAACAATGTTAACAAATAATTATATATCTTGAAGTGCATTGGCTAAGTTACCACTAACTTAACTCTGTTTGATACTCTAACTATTCTTCCCAATCACCTTTTGAATTACCATACTCTTCATCTCAAACAAGACAATGTCAATCTTCAGATTCTGAATCTGAACCTTTTTTTTTAACCCTTTCTATTCCATATTAATTTTCCGCTAATTTTTTACTTTTTCCTTTCCCTTATCTTTATCATCTTTTTTTGCGTTTCGTTCATCATTTCTTTTTAAGGCTACTCTGTCAAAACAGCGGTCTTACTTTTGCGTCTGCAATTTGTATTTGTTTTTCGTGATGGTGCCTTTGGTAATGGTATAATCATTGATGGGGAAAATTGATTTTGACCAGAGCAACTTGAGGTTGGTTCGTTCGCAGTTTCAATGTGGCGTTTGATTTCTGTTGTGCTGATATCCACTTCAGGAGCAAAATCTAATAGTTCTGGATGTTCCAAATTCAACGATAAATTTTCAGTTTTATTGAGAACATTTTTAGATTGTTCTGTAGCATCTGGACGATCAGTAAAATAAGAATGCACTATCTTGGAAAATATTAACATTCAAAGGCTAAACACTAGAAGCTCTAAATCCACTGATAATATTTGCAGGATTCAGGGCAAGAGGTAATGACTCCTTCACTACACTTGGGATGTCATATATTGTCATCGTTTTTCCCCTGGATCATTATGCATCCATGCAGTCTGTGCTCTGTTCACCTAGTTTTTCAAAGGGTCATAGACTCAGACGTCCATAGGTTGCAAGTTGTGGGAGCAATGGGGGGAAACGATAACATGATTCGCAATTGTTTGACATTCTTTGGTGTTGGGTAATTTCGGAAGGCTGTTGTGGGATGATTTAATTAAGAAAAAGAAATACAGATGTTACAAAGGTTGATTTCGGCTGAGATGTATACCGCCGTGGCTATTCCTTATTACAGGGTGATCTTATGACTGAAATGGGATTAGGGAAGAGATTATACGCTCAGCAGTAGTATAGCTATAGAGATTCTGTGACAGGTCGATGGCCTGTCCTTCCTCAGTCCTTACTATGACCTCTAATGGCACCTTGGAGGGCATTCTTCGTACGGAAGACCGAAACGTCTTGCCAAAAATGTGTTTTGTTTGACCTCTAAGACACTTTGGAGATGACTCTTCAGCTAAAGAAGTTCTTAAGAGCCTCTGGATTGTCTTCATAGTAGGCGGAGCCTATTAGAATTTAAATTTCGCGCGCGTTTGCGGGTCAGTGCAGTGTTTGCTCAACGTTATTGACAATACTTTGTGACGTAATTGAACTTTGGTCTGTTAAATATTTGTGTAGATAAGAGGATACGTCACAAAACAGGACTGAACCTGCATAGATTTACTGAGAATTATTACGTTAGGGTTAGAGGAGTTCAAATTTTANTTTTTTATTTAGTTTTTTCAAAAAATGGTGGTTTCATTGGGAACCGTCTGGGAAAATAAGACATTTTTAAATTTAATGGTCTATATATTCAACTTGCAAAAAAACAGAAATGCCTTTATGGCTACAATGCAAACGATTGAAAAAAGTAACAAAACCCATCGGAAAGTACAATAACTGTTCAAGTTTATCAAGGTTTCTTAGAAAATCGGCGAAACAATTGCGTTTATCTTGTAAATATAGCCCAACATTGCATGAACTGCAATGCCATCTAGTTCTGTGTGGATTTGTTTTTGTACTGCATTTAGCAGATCTGACGCTGGTACCATTCACTGGTATGTGGGCTGCTTTGTCTGTACGCCTTTCTATGGGTACATACTTCTTAAATCGGTTTATTGCACCTTCATTGCTTCTTCTGCCTCGTTGAGGTGGCTCCGGATTCGCACCTATTAGACCACCTGCAACAGAGTCTAAATTCCTTCAGTGAAAGCGTTTTTTCTGCGTTTTTAGCATTTTTCTCTTATGATGATGAAATGAGAAATGCATTCACAATCGTTAGATCAACGAAATGCCAAAAAATTCTATGCCATCATTTTCGTGACTGTGTCAATTTCATAACAAGACTTCTACATGTCACTCTTATCCACAAACCCCATATACGTGTTGTAATGTTTGACAAGTTTGATACAAGTGTATCCTTCTCGGTCCCATCTTTTTTCCTGCGGCTAATAAGTTCGGTTTTATCTGGCTTGAGAAAATTGCTTAGGAAGTGGACTGCCTTGTAGAATGTACATATACAGCTAAGGGCAAGTCATCTTCAGGATCCCAGTCGTTGCATGCAGTCTCAGAAGTCTTACTGTTGTCTTCTGTCGCTTTGGTTCTATCACCTTCATTGCCTTCATCTGTTTTCATAAACGCGTCATCGTCTGCCCAAATTAACTGAAGCTCCAGCAGGGCAATCGCAGACTTTTGTGACTTCTTGTTCATTATCACCAACTAATCTATTTCCATATTCTTGATTTTTTTTCTTCTTTTTTTCCCACAGAAATCACCATTCCACTCCGTAATAATTCCTCTTCAGAACGCATTGGTCTTGTGTATCCTGCAGACGCTTTAATGACATCGATTATTGACAACATAATTATTTCTCATCCAGCAAGCAACCACATAAATCTAATTGAAATAAATTTTTCCGTGACGTAAATTGTATAGAAAACTGTCTGTCAAAGTGTCGTTCTTAGATAGCTTCACAATTTTGACACTTGAGGCGCTAGTTAGAATCTTTGCATCGTCAATGATGACCACACAAAACTTATAGTCATTAAAAAACCGTAAAGGAAATTTAAAGCTATACGAAATATAAACTGTTCTTCTGTTCACTAATTACTTGTTCTTCAATGTTATTCATGTAATTCCAGCTGGCAAAGTCAATTGCTCGACATTGATTTCTATTCTAAAATAACTAGGCTTTCACCATACTTATCCTACCGGGATCACACACTATCCATTTCTATGCCATTCAATTCATAACTCACATGTTGAGCCTGAGGTTCTTCTCGACTTATTTCAACAGTGACCTCAGTAGTATAGCTACAGGGAAACTATGACACTTTGATGGCCTGTCCATCCTCAGTTCCTTATCATGACCTCTAATGGCATCTTATAGGTCATTCTTCGTGCGGAAGGCCGAAACGTCGTAGCCAGGATTATAGAAATGTGTTTTGTTTGACCTCTAAAACATCCTGAAGAAGTTCTTAAGAACCTCTGGATCGTCTTCATATTGGGAGAAGACATTCGAATTTGAATTTCACGCGTTTGGAGATGAATGCTGAAGAGGTAGCTTAATCTTGTTCCGCCAACCCCCTTCAGAATAACTTCTGCGATGTGTTTCAGTCATCCTTCGGTCACCACTTTTTAGAATACGGTTGATTTTTTGAAACCTAATTGGGGGAAGACGCCAATACTAACTTGTTGTTTTCAACGTTTTTAAACTTTGATCTTTTGAATATTTTGTGACGTAATTGAACTTTGGTCTTTTGGATTTTTGTGTAGATAAGAGGAAACTTCACAAAACAGGACTGAGCCTGCATACATTTACTGAGAGTTCGAATTTTGTAGAAAATAGTGAAACACATGGAAGTACTTTTATTTTAATATGTATTAATATGTACAAGAAGTTACACAGGTTACAGTAAAGTCGTTGTATTTACAAGAGCATCTTTAACATTGTTCCATGCAAACAAGATCGAGTTTTTCTCCACATTTGATAATGTCCATCAATTTTGTAATAGTCAATGCTGCCCGGTGTAAAATATCTAAGAACCAAAAATGAATTATTAGTAACATAGATAATTTACAGGAACATATTTGCCACTAAATAGTTGGAATGAAATTAGCTGCACCTCATTACCATATCCATTATATGTAAAAGTGGTTTCGAGTCACACAAACCGACCTTCTTGTTCTTTTGTTATTGCAATGGTACATTTGCATTCCTGTTTATTTTGAATGCAAAAGTATTATACAAGTCATGCGAAACCGAAGTTCTGTTCCACCCATCTGGTCATACATATGGCAACGCTATCATTTTGACAACATCTAAATGCATATATTACATCATATGGTCGCGACATGAAGATCCATTGTAGATTGTTGCAATGACTGTAATTGTTGTTAGCAAAGCAGCCATGTCACTACTGTGATGTTTGAATTATGACATAAAATTTTATTTGTTATTTATCTACTACGCCTCACTTTCTGCCAATCCTCTCTGGTACAAGAACCCGTTCATGCTACCATGTCTGGTGATCAAGTACCCTGCAGCCGCAGCCATGCACGGATCAATCCATCCGCTCGACCTAACAGTGCGAATGTCTGGAATGAAGCGGTGTGTCACTCGTCCGTTTACCGACAGCTCCCACCCGTCTTGCCACTTTCATACAATCCTTTTGTCTAGCTCTTTGTGCACTCCTGCTGCCGACAGACCGGCGATTTCATCATTGCTGACTATGTCGCCAGGCTCCACCGGTATCTCACGCTTCGCCTTAAAAGTGAGCGCCCGCCTCTCTGCCTCCAGAACCCACGGGATCTCTCCCATGAGTAGCTGTATCGCATCGTTGCGCTACTCTTTCACATTGTCTCATCAGGTTCTTTCCTACCACCGTACGGAGGGTCCGGTACCAAATGCTTGATCCGTACAAGGCACACTCGGTCAAGAGGCCTTTAAACAGACAGCGGACCGCCCGCTTCTCTGCCCCCACTCCGTGCGCAGGACTCTCCGCAGGGGCCCAACTACTGTCACTATCTTGCCCCTTAATGCCTCGAGGTGTGGCCGAAAAGCCAACCTCTCTCCTACGCATACACCGAGGTATTTCACGGTGCGCACATACTCTACTGTGAAGTTGCCGCTTCTCACCACTGGCGGCCGAGTATCAGCCAGCCTTCCCTTAAGCAGCATACAACACGTCTTTTGGGTCGAAACGGAAACGCCAACCGTCTCTCCCCACCTCACAGCTACACTCAGAGCAGTGCTACCTCGGTGTTCTAACTCCCTTCTGTTGTTGCCCTCGACCATGACCAATAGGTCATCCGCGAAGGCCACAACGCTTGTCCCCTCACTCTCATACTCTTCTAGTAGGACATCCATCATTAGGTTCCAGCATTCCGGACCGATGACGGAGCCCTGGGGACATCCTCTTGTAACCTGCCTACTAACCTGGGTTCGTGGTCCGTAGGCTCTAACTTCTCTCTCCTGGAAGTAGCTTCGCCACAAGGCTAGCTCTTCACATCCCACTCGTTGGAGCCTCGCGACAATACGGCTCCAGTGCAA